CAGTCAATCGTCGAGAAGTGCCCAACAAAGGACCTGACCATTCTGATGGGAGATTTCAACGCCAAGGTTGGAACGGACAACACTAGATATGAAGACATCATGGGACGACACGGACTGGGAGAAAGAAACGAAAATGGTGAGAGATTTGCAAACCTATATGCCTTCAATAAGCTGGTCATAGGCGGCACCATATTCCCACATAAACGCATACACAAAACCACATGGACTTCACCGGATCACTCTACACAAAACCAGATCGACCATATTTGCATCAACAAAACGTTCAGGAGGACTATAGAGGACGTGAGAACCAAGAGAGGAGCTGATATAGCATCAGATCATTACTTACTGGTCGCCAAGATGAAATTGAAACTCAAGAAGCACTGGACAACGGGGTGGACAATATCACAAAAGTTCAATACGGCCTTTCTTCAGGATACTAACAAACTCAACAAATTCAAGGTAGTTCTCAGCAACAAGTTCCAGGCCTTTCATGATCTACTCAATGGAGAAGGAACTACTGTAGGGAGCAACCGGAAGGCGACCAAAGAGGCAATCACTTCAACATGTCATGAGGTCTTGGGTCACAAGGAATGGATCACTGTTGATACACTGGATAAGATTCAAGAAAGGAGGAACAAGAAGACAGCAATCAATACCAGTCGAACAAGAGCAGAAAAAGCCAAGGCACAAGCTGAATACACAGAAGTAAAAAAACAAGTGAAGAGGAGCATCAGAACTTACAAACGTAAATATGTGGAAGATTTAGCAACGACGGCGGAAAAGGCTGCAAGAGAAGGAAACATGAGACAATTGTATGACACGACAAAAAACTCTCTGGAAATCGCCGCAAACCAGAACGACCAGTGAAAAGCAAGGAAGGCAAGGTAATCACCAACACTGAAGAGCAACAAAACAGGTGGGTAGAATACTTCAAAGAACTGTTGAATCGACCAGCTCCACTGAACCCACCCAACATCGAAACAGCACCCACGGACCTCCCAATCAATGTTGGCCCACCAACAATTGAAGAAATCAGCATGGCCATCAGACAAATCAAGAGTGGCAAAGCAGCAGGACCGGACAACATCCCAGCAGAGGCACTAAAGGCAGACGTAGCGGCAACTGCAAGGATACTCCACATTCTCTTCAATAAGATTTGGGATGAGAAACAAGTACCAACAGACTGGAAAGAAGGACTTCTGATCAAAATACCGAAGAAAGGCGATCTCAGCAAGTGTGATAACTACAGAGGCATCACTCTTCTCTCAATACCGGGAAAAGTCTTCAACAGGGTATTGTTAAACAGGATGAAGGACTGCGTAGACGCCCAACTTCGTGACCAACAGGCAGGATTCCGTAAGGATAGATCGTGTACAGACCAAATCGCAACTCTACGGATCATTGTGGAACAATCAATTGAATGGAATTCATCACTCTACATCAACTTCATTGACTACGAAAAGGCATTTGATAGCGTGGACAGAACAACACTATGGAAACTTCTTCGACACTACGGCGTGCCTCAGAAGATAGTTAATATCATACAGAACTCATATGATGGATTACACTGCAAAATCATGCATGGAGGACAGTTGACAAAGTCGTTCAAAGTGAAGACCGGTGTTAGGCAAGGTTGCTTACTCTCACCCTTTCTCTTTCTCCTGGTGATCGACTGGATCATGAAGACGTCAACGTCTGAAGGAAAGCTCGGGATACAATGGACATCTAAGATGCAGTTGGATGATCTAGACTTCGCAGACGATCTGGCCCTTCTATCGCAAACGCAACAACAGACGCAGGAGAAGACAAACAGTGTGGCAGCAGCCTCAGCAGCAATAGGTCTCAATATACACAAAGGGGAAAGCAGGATTCTCCGATACAACACAGAATGCACCAATCCAATCACAACTGACGGAGAAGATTTGGAAGATGTAAAAACCTTTACGTATTTGGGCAGCATCATTGATGAACAGGGTGGATCCGATGCAGATGTGAAGGCGCGGATCGGCAAAGCAAGAGCAGCATGTTTACAACTGAGGAACATCTGGAACTCAAAGCAACTGTCAACCAACACCAAGGTCAGGATTTTCAATACAAATGTCAAGACAGTTCTACTGTATGGGGCAGAAACCTGGAGAACTACAAAAACCATCATCCAGAAAATACAGGTGTTTATTAACAATTGTCTACGCAAAATACTTCAGATCCATTGGCCGGACACTATTAGCAACAACGTACTGTGGGAGAGAACAAACCAGATCCCAGTGGAGGAAGAAATTAGGAAGAAGCACTGGAAGTGGATAGGACACACATTGAGGAAAGCACACAACTGCGTCACATGACAAGCCCTCACATGGAATCCTGAAGGTCAAAGGAAAAGAGGAAGACCAAAGAACACATTACGCCGAGAAATGGAGATAGACATGAGAAAAATGAACAAGAATTGGATGGAACTAGAAAAGAAGGCTCAGGACAGAGTGGGTCGGAGAATGCTGGTCAGCGGCCTATGCTCCATTGGGAGTAACAGGCGTAAGTAAGTAAGTAAGTATATAAAGTGTAAAAGGGTGTATACTATTGGTAATTAAAGCTTTAACTATATGAAAATTTAAATCCTCCCATCTGTTTATTCAATTAACATAATGATCTAGCTTCAATTGATTCATGATTTCAACTATTGAAACTGCTATAATATCCACAAAATGACCCTTCTGATGTTAATCAGCATATGCTCACTAATGATTGGCTTCAACAAGTATTTCCTAGAATCCTAGTGAGAAGAAGTGATCAGTGGAGTTCAGATGTGTCTGTTGTGAGATAGTAACTTATTGATGACAATGGTGGATGTGGAACTCGATTCCTTGGATTAGTTGAAGTTAGACGTTAACGGCGTTGGATACCGGCCGACTCAGTGGTCTAGAGGTTAAACTTTCATACACGAGACCTATAGTTCCTGAGTTTGAGTTCTGCGGGTCAGGATCATGGATACGCACTGCTGATGAGTCTCATACTAGCACAAAACGGCCATCATGTGCTTCCAGATTTTTCATGATGGTCTAGCTTCAATTGACTCATGATCTTAACTATTGTAATTACTATAATATCCACAAAACCTCTTTCTGAATTTAACAGTTTTTTTTCACCCTAAACCTACCCGGGTAATATTAGCTGATTATCCAGTGTGATAATGTTTCAAATTGTTTTCACATTATTATTTTCTTTTTTATTCTTGTCCGCACTTACCTTCCATTTCTAGTCTTGTTCACCTTACATTTTTATATATTTCCTTAACACGTATATTATGTGTTATCAGATTGTTCGAAATGCATTGCACTAATATATCATCATATTGTCCTGATACTCTTCGTATTCTTATTACATAATCGAAATATTTTGGTCAATTGTCTATTTGAACATGAAATAATGGGTAAATAAAAGCAACTGAGAACACAGTTTATCCAAATCTATACACCAATGGACCATGTGAACTTATTTGCATTCAAATAACACAAGTCATTTGATTTGTGTGTGGGCTAGGATACTGCCCGGGTGTCCAGACCGGAGCAGGTGGTTTTCTGAAGAAACCACATCCGCAGCATTCGACCTCAATGTGTAATCCAAAAAAAAACAGTGAAGCAATGTCAGGAGATGCAGCCCCATGATGGATGATGACCAACTATTGGTTCATACGCCATTTGTCCCCTCAGGATACTGGAGTCCATGTGGACGATTGGTTTGGAACCAAGGTTTTCCAATTCCCCTATGTGGATTATTCACACTCCTGGTGCGAGAAGACAGTGAGTAGGACTTCCCTGTCAGTGGTTGTGTGCACGCGGCCATGTGAGAGGATTTCGAGAGGGAATGTTGACTCTCCTCACTTTTGGCCGTATTAGAGTATTTGGGCACCGGATTAAAACTATAGGTACTACTAATCCTAATTACACACAGAAATACTTTGAATACAGTTTCCTAATCGTTGACTGTAGCCTGATGTCTTGTATTATGTGAATATCGTTAAATCATTGAGTTTTCTAGAATTTGTAGGTATGTCTGACTTACGATCACTGATTTGTTCAATATCCATCTCAGACTAAACTGTATCACACCAAGAATATAATATTGCATAAGGTTACTTTATTTTAAAAGAAGACTACTGTAAATGTGGTACCTAACTGGAGGCAAATAATTATGAGGACATTTTGTTGGAGATTTCTTCTTTGAGCTGGATGGTTTGGTCGTGGAGCTTTCATCGTTCTTCCGAACGACATCATGAGCACAGAAGAACGACGAAAGCCCCACGACCAAACCGTCCAGCTCAGAGAATAAAACTCGACAAAAATCACCCACCTGAGCTACAAATCTCGACCATCTCAAAATTATGAGGACACCATATATTTTAGTTTACACCATGAAGTCAATTTAGACATAAAACTATTGCAATCAAGAGAAAGATGAATGGTTGTTTCATGATAGAGGTGTATACTCATAACATTCCAAATGATTAAATCAAAAGGGGTGTATTTCCCTTCAAATTACATAGATAACTATCAAATCAAATCACTTTATATTGTACAACTATCATTAATTTTCATCACTAATTCTATTTGCTCACCTGTCATATCACAACTCCACTAATCATAGATTCTCACAAACACATGTTGACATGGTGACTTAAATCTTATTCACCCCCTATCCTCATACCTGTCCTTTATATATATATATATTCATTCCATTAGCATGATTTCTATGGATAAGCAATTTTCAACTATCAGAAATCAACTTGTAACTTTCTCTTCTAATCAGTAGAATTAAATTAAAAGACTCTAAGATAATAGGATGGTGATAGGGGGTGGTGTGGTGGTGGTGGTGCTGGTGGAATGAGGGTGGATTATTATTGTCATGGTAAATATTAACATGATTCAAAGAATTAATTTTTCTTGTATTAAATTATTTCTCTGTTTATATTGTGAAGGATAAATTCAACTAAACAAATATCCCTACAAGTTTCTGTGTTATATAATATGTACACTTGTATATTTTAACATTAACATATTTCAATAATACAGAGAGGGGGGGGGCGAATAGAAGATTATTGAATGAAAGGGAAGGTTTATAAAAGAGGGGAAGATTAATTCAATTTAATAAAACAATAAACTGAATTTGTAACTGATTACATGATAGTCAATTATTGAGGAATCATTAAACTTATGTTGAATAACTACTGATTATGTAAGTAATATTTGTGTACATTTTTGCATAAAGTTTCATATGATGTTCATGAATTTTCTGTGTTAGTCTAGTGAGAAGCAGTGATTAGTGGAGTTAAACCGGGTCTATTGTGAGATAGTATTTCATTGAAGACAATGGTGAATGTGTTGCTCAATTTCGTGGATTAGTTGAAGTTAGACATTAACAGCATTGGATAGCGGCTGACTCAGTGGCTTAGAGGTTAAGTGTTCACGTGCGAGATCGACAGCTCCTGAGTTCAAATCTCACAGGGTCCCATACTAAGACAAAACGGTCATCCGGTGGTTCCAGGATTCCCATGGTGGTCTAGCTTCAATTGACTCATGAATTCAACTATTAAATTATGTTAATGAGTTGATAGATTTTTATGTTAATCTTTAAGTCATTAGCATAAAACGTTTTTAATAATAATATGAGCGTAGTATACTTCTCGTTGTTCAAAAATAGGAGAATTTGATCAAAAGACCGTCTTCCACTCGAGAATAACTGTATTTTCTCCACGAATTTCTTCGTCAGCATGTTCTACTAACAAGCGTAAGGTACAGACCTCCAAACAACTGCCCAATGGGATGGAGAATAGCTGAGTAAAGTAGAAGAAAAATGATACACCCAATGATAACTGATGCAAATTCCAGGATCCTTTCCAGTTCTTTTCACCTGTAACTCTTCTAGAGCTACTGCCGGACACAAGCTCGAGTAAAGGAGGAGGGTTGGGCATAGGGTTAGCGACCCCATGCTGTAGAAAACTAACTCCCTAAAAAAGCGCTAAACAGAAGAAATAGTTCAAACCATTTAGACAGAAAGATGTACTGAAGAGCTTCGTTGGTAGGTAAAAGGAACGTTTTAAGTGGGGAATTATTCTGTATTGTAAAACCTGTCATCTGTTAGTAGTAAATACAGAATCCAGTCAATTTTGATTGTTAAAAATGTTCAAATGTCTCAAATCTAAAAGAGGATGAGGCATTCACGGGATTAAATTGAGACCTGAAGTTAGATGGTGGTTGGAGGTAGTCAACAGGAAACCCTGGACCCGGGTTTCGTGCTACTTGGCACTCGTCAGTATGGTGTACCTGTAATCTTGAGGGAACTGGTGCTCCCTAGCGGATTCGATCCCATATCACCCAGCTTCACAGTCAGGGACGTTACCACTGAGCTATCCGAGCCGCGACCGACCTTCTGTGGGACTGAGATGTAATCACAATTGATTGATCACTGAATTATTCAATATAATAAGTAAATTTCAACATTCGAGACAAAATTTTCAAAATATCATGAAAATTCTGTCTCGAATGTTGAAATTTACTCATTATATTGGATAATTCAAGTTTTTTCAGATTGATTAGGAGCTTCATTTTCTTAGATGTTAATAATGACTGTCCATTAGTTATACTTAAGACAGCCATCCTCTTCAATGTACTCTTAAGGGCTAATTGAATCTACCCGTTGTAGATTTCAAGGAGTGAAATTCATCAGTGTTGTTTGGCAAATGTTCTATGCGAATTGCTTTGATTTTACTACTGAGTCGCAAGCATTTTAGACAGAGTTGGATAGTAGCTAGCTTTGGTGTCCGAGAGGCATATTTTTTTCTATTTGGGACTCGAACTTAGGACCTTTCACTTTAAACGTTGAACACGAAAGATCAATCGTTTCCCTCTAGTCGTTCTTGGTTTTCAGTAATGATCTAAGTAAAACCAGTCTGTGTAAACTGTGAAAATTTTACAATCTAATAAAAAGCACCATATTAACATTGGGATGTATTAAGGTTTGGGCACGGCCGTTTAAGTTAGGGACAATATATTTCTACATGTATAAAGGAAAGTTAACTTTGTTAGGCAGTTTGAAGTAAACAACAGAAAATTGATGGGTCAAACTTATTACAGACTAAGGAAAATCTTTATGACAAATTCTATGTCGAAATCTAAAAGGTACTTTTATATCAATCCGATGAATTCCATCGAATCTCTACAGAACTATTGAGCAGCATGATTGTCTACTACATTCATTTATCCGCTGTCTGTTAGTTTAGCTGAATACAATAGCATTTCAGTAGATATTCCATCGCCTGTTTTATTTGACTAAGTTTCTATCTGTAAGTGATAATTATTTTCAATAGTAGTAGTTGTGTAGTGATCAAGAACACAAGTGGGGACAATCAAATATACTTGAAAACGAAATTACAGAGCATCTCACAAAAATCTGAGAACTATATAGTAAGTAGTTAATTTGAAGGGGGTTTTGTGAAGATTTTAGTAATTTAATAGTTGAATTCATGAGCCAATTAAAGCTAGACCACCAAGGAAAATCTAGAAGCACTGGACGGCTGTTTCGTTCTAGCAGTATAGATCTAGGACCCACCCTGCGAGACTCGAACCCGGGACCTATTGGTCTCGCGCGTGAACGCTTGACCTCTAGATCATTGAACAGGCATCTAACAGCGTTAATGTCTAACTTCAACCAATCCACGAAATTGTGCCAACAATCTCTTGTCTTCAATGCTAAACTTATTGTAACTAATTGAAAAAAAGCCAGATCGTTCTTCTATCCTGTGTACAGTTACTGTTGATGAAAGTGTCTGAGATTAGTACTGAAATTCGGTTAGTTATGTGTTAAAACATTTGAAGAATCGTTTAGGAAAAAAGACGAGATTCGACTTGAGTATACATAAATACATTTCAATAAACATCTTTTGAAAACAAAGCAATAATGAGTCATATATTACTATTAAGCAATTAAGTAATCGAAATAGTAATTGAATTTATTAAACATGTTCTTTAGTGCGATACAACTGAAGGACTTAAGTAACATATCGTTTACAATCTTTTTTACTAACTACATTCAATTTGACAGTTTCAAAGTTTTTTATTGTGAGGACGGCCCACAGGTGTACTCAAGGAAGCTCTAAGAAGGTCAGAAAGAGTCAAAGGCATTCCATATAATTATCTTTTGGAGGAACATTCCAGAATCTCGACGTATAACTTACTTATTGGATAAATGCTAATAACCTCCTATATGCGGATTAAAAGACTATAATGATGAATCCGTTTTCACTAAAAACTATTAATGCCTGACAGTTTTGTATCGTATTTGACACTGTTTTGAAATAACATTCCTTTCATTTGTCTTCTGTCTTCTCATTTACGACGTAGAGAGTACTAGCATTAGAGTACTTAAGTTATACGCAGTGTATCAAAGGACCCAAGCTCTAGATATATCATCTATATCTCATCATCATCATCATCATCATCATTTTATTGGTTAAATTTGAATAGAAGCCAATCTTTCAATTTTCTTCAAAGAGAAATCTATAAGAAAACAACCGGATATTAAATTCACTTGGTGTTATTGTTTACTTGTATCTTCCCATTGATGTTTAGGACTGAAATTGATCAGTCTCATGTTGGTATGTGTGAATTCTGTGCGGATTGCCTCAATATTGCCTTAATTCACAAGCATTATAAGCAATGATAGATAGTGGCTAGTAGTGGAATCCAGGACGCTCGATTCATCCTATTTAGGACTCATCAGATGAATGTGAATGCATCTCAGAGTTGATGTTCACTCTGGGACTCTAACTCAGTACGATTCGCTTCAAATACCATCGCATAATCTATTTAGCTACTAAGTGCTGACAGCAACTGCTTGAGCAATGGGGTGAAGTTTTAAATTCAATTAGTGTTGTTCTATTCGTATCTTCCTATTGTTGTTTAGGACTGTAATTGATCAGTCTCTCTCTCTCTCTTATTGGCATATGTACACACCAGATATTAGTTTAACGAAAGTTTTTTATTATTGATTATTGATTGAAAAATCTGATAGTGACTATTAGTTGAACATAATAAAAACTTTCTTCCAGATGTTTCTGTTCTCACCTACTACTACTACTACTGCTACTACTATTAGTAGTAATACATAGAGATTAAGGTATATGTTTTTCAATTATGTAAGTTTTATTATGATTAGATTTGTTGTTCTAAGTCCAACTTAATGATAATCACCACCCATCGTCATCAACATCTTCCTCATTATCACCATGATTATTATCCTATAAATATGTAATATATATTCAGTGGGAATATTTACTAGAAATTTCTCATAACTTACCAACATAAATGGTCATTGTTATATTGATAAATGAGAATTCCCCCCCTCCCTCTCCCTCTCCCTCTCTCTCTCTTTATTCTCTTATGAAATTGATAAATAAATAAAATCCAATTGAATGAATAAAGTAGCTCATTTAAGAAGTCGAACTCTTTTCTCACAAACAATAGATTATTGTATCATTTCAGAAGGGTTTTGTGTGTGTGTGTGTGAGTGTGGATATTATAGTAATCTTAATAAATGAGACAATGATTCAATTGAAGTTAGACCAACATAGAAAACCTGGAAGCACTGGATGACCATTTCGTTCTCGTATGGGAATTCTTACCAGTGCGCATCCATAACCCCATACGCGAGACTCGTGGATTCAAATGTTCAAATATTAAAATCTTCATAAATCCTCATACAGATAAAAACTATGTTCTTACTAAAGACTAGCTTCAAGATGGATTTCTTGGAGTTCGAGTGAGAAACTGTGACCAATGGAGTTAAATCCGTATCGGTTGGAGACAGTTATTCAACTGAGACAATATATGAAGGATTGCACATGATCATTAATCGATTGAAGTTTGACATCAACACTAATGAATATCAGCTTAGTAGTTTAAAGGTTAGGAATTCGTGAGCAAGCCTGAAGATCTTGTGTTCAGGTCTTACATGAGCAGTGAGGTACTAGAACGAAACGGTCATCTTGTGATTTCAGGTTTTCAATTGTAGTCTAGCATAGATTGACTAATTAATTCAACTGTTGAAATGTTTTTCTTGTTTACATTTAGATCACAATCAGACACAAAAATATCTGAACTTATATTAACAAGCTTAATTTTTTCATTAAGCTTCATTTCATACCGCACCTCTTCATCTAAGACCTCATCAATATCTTTAAAGTGAATATCTCTCAAAGTTGTTAAAATTACCGGTTGACATTAATTCAAGGAAAATGCCAACAGTCAGCTTTTCTCTCATGTCGATTGTATGAAAAAAAACTTGCAGAATTAAACTTTCGGAGAATAATTAATAGTTACTCAGTTAATTTTTCAATCAAAGTCATTCCATCTTAGTCTAATTATCTGGTCTGTTAGTTAAGTGCTCGCGCGCGAGACCAATAGGTCCTGGGTTCAATTCTCGCGAGGCGGGATCGTGGATGCGCACTGCTGAGCAGTCCCACAACAGGACGAAACGGCCGTCCAGTGCTTCCAGGTTTTCTATGGTGGTCTAGCTTCAACTGACTCCCGATCTCAACTATTGAAATATCTGGTTAATACTTGGTAGTTTACAAAGGATATAAATGGAGACTACGTCAAGTAGGGTTTTCTGAAAATTCTCTACCATCACAAATTAACATCGAACTATAACGTTGATGACGTTGATTGATTTAGAATAGTGGTCATATTAAGCAAATCGCTCAACAAGATACGATCACTGCTGAATGATTAGACAAATATAACATTTGTCAATTCTCAGTGATCAATTTAATTGTAAATAGATTTGAATTGAATGAAGAGACACAAGTACATTGTAGCTACACATACAATTTATTAAATAGAATCAATTAACAAGATACTTTAGATTATAGCAATTCACCTACAATCAATTTTGATTAGGGTTAACATTTGTCAAGTCCTTTGTTATTCCGACGGTAACAATTCGTCTATTTCTTTGTATTATTATGATCACTATCATGTCTATATAAACGTATACGCTTGATCACATGCGGTAGCCTACTCATATATATCTCTCTAGCTTAAATGTTGATCGCCTAAATATAGCTCGGTGAGTGATTCTTCTTCCCATATATGTATTCACTTGAATCCTATTAATAGCATTTGCATTGCTTTGCTTAGCCTTTGCCGTTGATTCGATTTGACTATAAATTCACCACGGTAGTTTATCGCACACAGACATTAGTCTCTCTGCTCCAATTCACTCAATGTGCTATTAACTTTTTTTTATCCGTGCTATCCGTAAACAAACTGTAGTCGCTGCTTCTTATTACCTTCTGAATTCAAACACTGTTGAGATTTATATAATAACGGTTATCAAGGTGATTGATTAACGAAGCTAAGTCACTACAAAGTCAAATGTTTGTTTTCGTTAGTTACCTCTAACCTACTAAAACTGATTTATGTTTAGGATCTAAGTATTTTGGTAGTAATAACAACCTATTATTATGGAGAGGTATAAAACCTTGATAGAACGGAGGATTTTACAAAGTTGTTTGGTAATATAAAGTTCAAGTTTGAATCACTGAATTATCAAAGTTCCTAGAGTGTACAAAACTTCGTTTAGCAATCCGTTTCAACTAATTTCATTGTAATCATGTTTGTAACTGTGAAAGATGGTTCTGATGTAAAAACAAAATTGATTAGAATTAACAAAGTGTTCCAAAAATTGAATTGTCAGTTAAATTTTGTTTTTGTTTTAACAGTAAGTAAAGGTAATTCTTCACATCCATTTGATATTTCCAGTTTCCTGACTTGAAAAATCGATGCGGAGTACTTAGTTACTAAATTAATGGTTGCTCTGGTTGTCAGAAGGGGCATCAGCTTGGTGACTTCCGAAGGAAGTCGGCTTCCATCATGAGACGTCATAACTTTTCTTAATGAAGACATTCTAACTCCCAGGGCAGAGTTTAGATGGTTTGAATTATTATTTCTGGTTAACATTTTTCTAGTGAGTTAGTTTTCTAAGGAATGGGATCACTAACTCCATGCCCAACCCCCCTCCTTTATCCGGGCTTGGGATCGGCAGTAGCCTCAGAGGACCTCCAGGCGGAGTGGCAGCTAAGTGAATAACATAATGGCGATTGAAGCAAATGGTTCTGGGTTCGAGTCCCAGAATGAACATCAACTCTGAGATACAGATATATCCATCTAACGAGTTCCACATAGGACGAAACTCGCATCCTGGATTCCACTGCTAGTCATCATCTATGTAGTGTTACTTACTTTATATTTTATTTGTTTTCTTATTTTAGACGGCTGATATATATGTTAAACAGGCCTTATTTGACTTCAAAATCAAACAATCATTTTTCCTCTAAGATGTTGGCTACTAATGATGTCATTAAATCTCAGTATGATACATTACTAGATAAACAATCAATTAATTCATGGCTTCCATTGCCACATCCATGTGTATTCACATCGAACTGGTCATCTCTTCATTTTGATTTAATTAAAAATTATCCATTATCTTGTTTACATTCAAAACATACATCTGAATCAAATTCTACATTAACACTAAAAGAATCCTGTTTAAATGTTCATAAACCAGGATTTATGTCAAATGAATCAACCTTAAACAATGATCATTATATAGAAGTGAATGAGGATTGTGAAACAGATTCAAATATGATTCAGAATGAAAACAATACAGTGAGTTACTTCTTTGATATTAGTAATATAACCTCATCAACTGATGAGGTGAGTAATTCAAATCAAACAGTATATGAGTGATTGTTTGATTATGACAGTATCACCACTTAATTTAGTGTTGAAAATCAAAGAATTTGTATTGTGAATAGCAAGTTACTTTTGAATTCCTTGTTTAGAACTATATAATGGATATATTCCGGAAAACTTTATGAATAGAAGATCATGATTTTCTTGGCATTCATTCATTCATTACTTACTTACTTACGCCTGTTACTCCTCGTGGAGGAGCATAGGCTGCCCACCACAGCTCTCCATCCAACCATGTCCTGCGCAATCCCTTCTGCCTCTCCCCAGTTGTTATTCGTCTTTTGCATATCTGCTTTTTTTGTTCTTTGGCCTTCCTCTTTTCCAATTTCCTTCAGGATTCCAAGTTACGGCTTGCCTCATGATGCAGCTTATTGATTTGTGTAATGTATGTCCTATCCATTTCCATCGTCTTTTCCTAATTTCCTCCTTAGCTGGAAGCTGGTTTGTTCTCTCCCACAGAAGGCTGTTGCTGATGATATCCAGCCAATGGATGTTGAGTATCGTACGTAGACAACTATTTATAAATACTTGTACGTTCTTGATGATGGTTGTTGTAGTTCTTCAAGTTTCAGCTCCGTACAGTAGAACTCCCTTGACGTTTGTATTGAAGATCCTCACTTTGATATTGGTTGGAAGTTGTTTTGAGTTCCATATGTTCTTCAATCGTAGGAATGCGGCCCTTGCTCTGCCCATCCTCGCTTTTACGTCTACATTTGATTTTCCTTGTTCATCGATGATGCATCTCACGTATGTGAAAGATTCTACATCTCCCAGAGTTTCGCCATCAAGAATGATTGGATTGGTGTTCTCCGTGTTGTACTTGAGGACCTTGGTTTTCCCCTTGTGTATGTTGAGGCCTACTGATGCAGAGACTGCTGCTACACTGGCTGTCTTTATCTACATTTGTTGGTGTTTATGGGATAGGAAGGCTAGGTCATCTGCGGATTCCAAACCGTCCAATTGGCTCTGAGCTGTCCATTGTATTTCGTGTTTTCCCTCAGATGTCGAGGTCTTTATAATCCAGTTGACTACCAGAAGAAAGAGGAAAGGGGAGAGTGGACAGCCTTGTCTGACTCCGGTCCTCACTTGGAATGCATCTGTCAGATGTGCTCCATGCACTACTTTGTAGTGTAGTACATCGTATGAGTTCCGGATAATATTGACAATCTTCTCAGGAACTCCGTAGTGTCGAAGAAGTTTCCATAATATCCTCCTATCTACACTGTCAAATGCCTTTTCATAATCAATGAAGTTGATGTATAGTGACGAGTTCCACTCAACTGATTGTTCGACGATGATCCGTAGTGTTGCAATTTGGTCTGTGCACGACCGATCCTTTCGGAATCCAGCTTGTTGATCTCGAAGTTGGGCATCTACTGCATCCTTCATCCGGTTCAGCAACACTCTGTTGAAGACTTTCCCTGGTATTGACAGTAGTGTAATGCCTCTGTAGTTTTCGCATTTGCTCAGATCTCCTTTCTTTGGAATCTTGATGAGGTGTCCTTCTTTCCAGTCCATTGGCACTTGTTCCTCCTCCCAAATCTTTTTGAATAGAGGGTAAAGCATGCTTGTGGTTACTTCGACGTCTGATTTCAGTGCTTCAGCTGGTATGTTGTCGGGTCCTGCTGCTTTCCCGTTCTTGATTTGTCTGACGGCCATTCTAATTTCTTCCGTCGTTGGTGGGTTGACATCTATAGGAAGATCTGTGTGTGCTGCTTCGATGTTCGGTGGATTCATTGGAGCCGGCCTATTCAGGAGTTCCTCGAAGTATTCTACCCATCTGTTGACAATCTTCTCAGGAACTTCACAGTGTTAAAGTTTTCATAATGAATGAAGTTGATGTATAGTGACGAGTTCCACTCAACTGATCGTTCGACGATGATCCGTAGTGTCGCAATTCGGTCTGTGCACGATTGATCCTTACGGAATTGAGTCAATGAATGCCTACTCCACTTGAAATAAGCTATTTTCTTCAATGAATTATCTCCTTAGATAGTTATGGATTTCTTAAAAGTTTATCGTTAGTGTGAGTGAAAATTAAATTTTCAGTTATTGTTCCAATGGTTAGTTAATCTCCATAATCAAAACAAGTTAAATATTTATTAACTTTATAGGTTTTAAGGATTCAATTTATTTCAAAATGATACAGTAGGTAGTAAATAGAATCATTTGAATATTTATTCAAAAGATCGAACAACTTGAATAGTTGAATTCATGAATCCTAGGACTACTATCTGATTATGATCATTGTATGATCACTAATGACTGGCTTCAAGTGGTATTTCCTGGAGTTCTAGTGAAAAACCGTGACCAGTGAAATTCAGTCGGGTCTGTTGTGAGATAGTAACTCATTGAAGACAATAGTGGATGTATCGCCGAATTTCGTGGATTAGTTAAAGTTAGACATTAACACCGTTGGATACCGACCGACTCAGTGGTCTAGATGTGAAATGTTCGTGTGCGAGACTGAAAGGTCCTGTGTTCGAATCAGTATCTTGGATGAGCTCTGTTGAGGAGTCCTTCAATAGGACGAAACTCCTGTCCAATGCTTTCAGGTTTTCCATGTTAGTCTAGCTTCAAATGACTCGTGATCTGTATAATATCCACATAACTCCTCTATGATTATAATTTTTTTCTTTTTCTAATATAGAATGAACACCTTAATAAAGAATATGGAACTCTACCAGAAGTAAAGAAACCAATGTAAGTAAGAACAAACTAATTCATATTACCAGATTTGTTTCAATTAAATTGGATTATTCATAACAGAATTGATTAATTGATAGAATGATTAACTAACAGTGAATGAAATATTCATTTAATTGGTTTAAGTTATCCTCTTGGCTAATAGTTTGATTGAAATTTGGTCAGTTTTAGTTCGTATATGGGTATCTTGTATAGATAGCCTCGATATAGCCGTTATCACACAATTTTATATAGAATCGATGGAATATAGTTAGAAGTGAAGTTCAGGGCATACATTTTATCCTATTTTTAATTCGTTAGAGTGGATGTTCACTTGAGGACTCAAACCCAGTACGTGAACTCTGGTTTGAAGGTATATTCATCTGACAAATCTCAAATAAGACAAAATGAATCTCTTGGATTTCATTGCTAGCCACTATTCATCTTTGCTTATACTTCTTGTGAACTGAGGCAATATAGAGGCAGTTCGTACAGGACGCACATATGCCAATAAGAGACTGATCAATTTGAGTCCTAAACATCAATGAGAAGATTCAAGTAGAACAATACCAAGTGAATTTAAACTTCACCCGATGGCACAAGCAAGTCATTATCAGGACTCAGTAGCTAGGTGGATAATGCGAACGGTACTAGGTTCGAGTTCTAGGGTGTGCATTCACACCGAGATTCAGGGACATCCATCTGATGAGTCTTGAATAGGATGAAAGGCGCATCCTGTATTCCACTGCTAGCCACCATTCATGCTTGCTTAGAATGCTTATGAATTAAGGCAATATCGAGGCAATATTTACTGATTGAACATATGCCAATAAGAAAGAGAGATTGATCATTTACAGTCCTAAACATCAATAGGATTATTCAAGTAAATAATACTAAGTGAATTTAACCTTCATCTCATTGCACAAACAAGTGGCTATCAGGACTCAGTAACTATGTGAATTACGCAATAGTGTTTCGAAGTGAAAATGGTATTGCATTTGAGTCCCGGGATGAATATCAACTATGCGAATCAGGTACATTCAGTTACCAAGTGAAATAACTAATATCAACTCTGAGATGAAGATACATTCATCTGATGAGTCACGAATAGAACGACACATGCATCCTGGATTCCATTGGTAGGTACTATCCATCTTTGCTTATAAAGCTTGTGAATTGAGTCAATATCGAAACAATCCTCACAATATGCACATATGCCAATAAGAGAGAGAGAGAGATTGATGATTTTTAGTCGTAAATAAGTGAATTTAACCTTCAACCTATGGCACAATTAAGTGTCTATTAGGGCTCAGTATCTAAGTCATATTTGAACCCGATTGTTACTAGGGTTCGAATCCCACAGTTCCTTTGTTCTTTATTTTCTTTTCTTTTATCTTCTCTTCTTTTAGATTATCAACTCATAAAGGTATAACTAATAATTATATAACAATCAAAAAATTTACAATCCGTGAAACAACAAATTTATTAAAAACATGGTTAAATAATCATCGTCATAATCCATATCCAACAAAAAATGAAAAAATTAAATTATCTATTATAACTAATTTAAGTTTAACACAAATTTCAACATGGTTTGCTAATGCTAGAAGAAGATTAAAAAAAGATAATCAAATGACATGGATACCAAAAATACGTCATCATAGGATAGTAACTAATTCAATCAATTTAAATAATAATAATAATAAGATACAAATTTGTCAAAAACAGGGTGGTGGTGATAATAATAATAATAATAAGGTTAATATGGATCAATTATCACAAACGAAATCTCAATTAAAATCAACAATAATAAGAGATTGTTTAATTAATCCATTCAATACTAATCATCATCATCTTCATCATCACAACTATCACCACCACCACCACCATCATCATCATGATTCTCCTCATTTGACATCATTCAAAAATCAATTAATTTTGAAATATTTTCTAAATAAAACTACCCAGCAACAAGAAGAAGAAGAAGGAGAAGAAGAGCAACAACAACAACAACAACAAGAATGTCTACAATTCAAAGAGAAATTAAATAATAATAATAATAATAATAATAATAATAATGATCAGATCAATTCATCTAATGAGAATTTTATAATCAATAATGATCATAGCAACAATGATTATCATTTATGGTATAATGATTATCATACTAAATTAATGCATATAATAAATCAATTAAATTGTGAAAATATGGATCAATATCCATTATTATATGGATCATTATCGAAATTCACTACAAATAATAATACTACTACTACTACTAATAATAATAGTATCATAAGAGATGATCAAACATCACAATTATGTTATCCTTCATCAAAAATATGGTCAGTTGCTGATGTCATCGATGTATAATTAAATCATACAAGAGTATTGATGAAATGAATAATGTTCTCTTTATCTTTTTTTGTCTTTTTGTTTCTGTATCTGGGACAATTTGATTACGTAATGTTTGTTAAAATGAGTATTATTATTTTTATTCATAATAATTACATATATGTCTATTATTAGAAGGGGTTTACGGAGATTTTAGAAATTTCACAGATTTAAATCATGAGTCATTTGAAGCTAGACCAACATGGAAGACCTGGAAGCACTGAACGGCCATTTCGTCCTAGTATGGGACTCCTCAGCTGTGCATATCCACGTTACCAGTGGAGTTCAGTCAGGTCTGTTGTGAGATATCATTTCACTGAAGACAATGGTATACGTTGGCGCAACTACTTGAATTGGTTGAAGTTAGACATTAGCACCGTTGAATGCCGGCCGGCTCAGTGGTCTAGTTGGTTAAGCGCTTGACGCGAGACTGGTAGGTCCTGGATTCGGGTCTCGCAGGGTGCAGGATCGTGGATGCGCACTGCTGAGGAGTTCTATACTAGGACGAAACGGTCGTCTAGTGCTTCCAGGTTTTCCATGGTGGTCTAGCTTCAAATGACTTATGATTTCAATCTGTGAAATATATATCTATTGTAATCATGCAAATGATAATCATATTGTCAATTGCATTACATTTTATTAATGATTCAATCTGGACAATTTAGTGTTAACTAATCAAATTGATTAATGATTATGATATAACATTTACTTTCATTAATGATATATTTAATGATGGATGTAATATTTGTTGAAGAATGGTAAAAAAGAAACGCTGATGATGATAACAACAATAATAACTTACAATTGTAACTATGTGATTAGATTATATATTTGTATGGTTTAAGTAAAATATGTTCCTGTTTGGTTGTACAAGGAAGGTAGTTAGAAGTTCTATACTTGGACATCTTACTTACTTGCTTACTTACTTACGTCTGTTACTCCCAATGGAGCATAGACCATCGATTAGCATTCCCTAACCCTTTCTGTCCTTAGCCTTCCTTTCAAGTTCTATCCAATTGTTGTTCATTCTTCATATGTCTGTCTCCATTTCTTGGTGTAATGTATTGTAATCGACTGAAAACATTTTGATTTTATGATTGTATATATGATTTGTTTAAATCTATCTAGATTTCATCATATCCAAAGCCTAAAAATGAACGAAACTCTTACCATCTATGAGATCAAGCCAGAACAATGCGGATAAAAGAAGTATGTCCTATCATTATCATTAACTTGACCTTAATTATTATTATTATTACCAAATTTCCCCCATTGACTTAGACAACATATTCTCATGATTTTATTCATCATTATTCATGATATTACTTTATTGAATTTTATACACCACTATGACCTTTAATGACCTTGAATGGCCTTCAATGACCTTGAATGATTGTAACAAAAACATTTAAATCATTTCACTACATTTACATTCTCATTTGTTACTAACTTATTAATTCTATAGGTTATCATTCGTATTACATAATCTAATATTATAATCTTTCTATTACATCATCTTGATTATTTCTTGTTTATATTTCCTTATGGTAAAAGTACTTTCACCAAATATGTTCACATATATATTGATACGATTGTACAGCTTGATACTAAATTCATTGAATACAGATCCCTTCACTGAACTTGGTGTTTTCATATTCAATACTAGACATTGTTACAGAGTTACAAACAGTTCATTTAATATCTCTAAACATTAAGATAGATGGTGGTTAAAGGTAGTCAACAGGAAACCCTAGATTTACCTCCAACTATCATCTTATTTCAATATAGTACATACAATGTCGAGTCATCTAGACTGGTGACCACATTGCAATATGATCGATAGGATTCGATCTACACTAAAAAGAACCTGACATACATGATAATGATCATCACCTAGTGATTAATCAATTGTAAATCTCCAAATACTATTCATAGTTATCGTATAGAAAATTTAATGTTTTATTGTAAATCTTTATATAATCAATCTAGTGTGAAGCAGTGACCAATGGAGTTAAACCAGGTCTATAGTTAGATAGTAACTCACTGAAGACATTGGTGGATGTGTCATTGAATTTCGTGGATTAGTTAAAGTTAGACATTAACAGAATTGGATACCGGCCAACTCAATGGTCTAATGGTTAAGCGTTCGAGACTAATAAGTCTTGAGTTTGAATCTCGCAAAGTGGAGTTGGGGATGGATGAGTGAATTTCGTGCCAAAATCCAAGACCTTTTCTCTTATACGTGATTGGTTCGTCTATAAATTATGATCTCGCCGTTGGAATGTAATAATTTCAATATTTATAGACAGGTTTTTCGGTTTGTGCAAATTATACAATTCCAAATTACACTGTATTACATTTTAGACAGGAGTTTTACATATAAAGTTACTAATTATGTTCTGAACTCTATAGATAGTGAATTGGAATATTTCTATTCTGATGAGTGAATGTGTGGTGTGTGCTACTTATATCAACATGAGTAGTATATAACGATAGTCAAGATTAGAATGTCTGGCAGCAGAAGCTCAAGAAGATCGGGAACATGAAGTAAATGGTATGGAAGTGCAGGAACATTGATTTCTGAGACAATTGATTAACATTTTGCAAATGAATTATTTACTGTATGGTTCCCAGATTTTACTGAGAGATTCTGTAATTTTGTGTCCAATTACATTTGGTTGTCCCCACTGTGTGTTCTCGTTCACTACAAACGTTATAAATTATGAAGATACATAATCTTATACATCTTTTGTCAGACTTTACAACCAGTCACGAGTAGAATTACATAATTTAGGTATAGGGTTTGATATTCAGTAAGAACATTAACACTAGGAACCGTGTGCATGCAACTGACTAGTCACAGGGCAGTGCCAGACTGTGTTACTAACTACAGTTATCAAAATGTTAAATTAAAATTGTTTGGCACCGTGAATTGATTGGTGTCAGACCACTACTGAAAACCTGGATGCACGTAGCTGGGGAGTCCCACGATGGGACGAAACGGTCGTCCACTGCTTCCAAGTTTTCAGTGGTGCTCTAACATCAATTGGTTTACGATCTCAATCAATAACTTGAAAATATTCACAGCCCTATACTGAAAATTAAAATCGACATCTGAATGATACAATATAGTTCAATAATATTTGCGTTTCGTTTTCTATCATTTAGTTGCATCTCTAAATCTTCCCCCACATTCTGTAGTCCAATTCAGTCAGTATAACATTTCCATCGTTGTTTCAGTTCATATATGAAGATGGAGAATATAACAACAACAACAAGTTTCAAGTTAAAATCTGAACGCTCATGCTTAAAACCAATATTTCGGGCTGGACTATCCCAACTAGAAGGATACGAAGGTAGATGCCATGACTAAGTGAATAATTGGTCTGATCAGAATGACTCCCTCATATTTGCATTCGAGCTGTCATGAGGCTTAGAGATATTGTGCGAACTGTTTGGCTTTACTTTGAATATTATCTCGCTTTATTAAAACGAATGTATTCTTCATTCGATTCAACTTCATTAATTGAAGAATGAACACAAGTTTCTTCTTATAACTAATTAGGTAGTATGAAATTCTGTTTCATTATACATGACATAGGGCCAGTGAAATGTAACTAAGCCCTAGGCAAATCATCACCGAATATCGAACAGATCATCGATCTCTGTCAAAGTGAAGGACAACCAATGCGCATCAGTTAATCGTATGCTATGGACTGGCGCATGCGGTGGTGGTTTCACTATCTTCTCTGTACTCATTCTTACTAATATATTTTCTTAGTAATATGATCATCATCAGGGGAAGTATGGGATACAATGAACAGCTTGGATGCAAATAGACGATTTTGATTATGCAGATGACCTAACTTTTTTTATCCAATACACATCAACAAATGCAGATGAAGATAAACAGTATAACAGTAGCGTCTGCAGTAGTGTGGTGTGTGCTACTGATATCGACAGATATAATTAATAGGTATCAGAAGGTTAACAAGATCGATGAACAGAGAACGATTGCTGTGGAAACGAATGAACAATAAAGTCTGAGATGAACGAGTGACATTTTGCAGAAGGAATAGTTATGTTTGAGACAATTGTTTGACAATTCGCTAATGAAGTGTTTACTATATGGTTCTCAGATTTTACTAAGATGTTCAGTAATTTTGTGTTCACATACATTCGATTGTTATCACTTGTGTTCGCGTTCACTATAACAGTGGACTTCAAAATATACAAGGGAAAAATCAAGATCTTCAAATACAACACAGATCGTACAAGCACAATTACACTTGATAGAGAAGCTTTGGAAGAGGTGGAAACGTTGAAATATCTAGGAAGCATAATCGATGAACTAGGAGGATCTGATGCAAACATAAAGCCAGTGATTGGCAAAGCAATAATGGCACTTATAGAGTTGAAGAATATATAGAGCTCGAAACAACTGTCAACTGTTGCGTCCTTGACCTGTCTACCCTCTTTGTGCAGAGGATACTTGTCTAACCTAGATTAAGGCCTTGACGCGATAGGCCAACTGGTTTAACCTTGAGGCTAGTATGCGTGAGTTCGAAGTGAGAGGCTTGGGGTAGAGAGCGACAAAAAGTATTCTATCACCTAATTGGCTGATAAGCACGCGAGTGAGAGAAGACAAGCCAACTGGAACACTACTCGATTTATTCTTAATTCCTATCTGGTTCCCGACTTTCCGATTTCAGATCATTGTCAAAAGATACATGAATGAATAAATGACTAACCTGACCACAACGTACAATTATTAGGAAAATACAATTATGTCCAATACTGGGGATTAGTATAGAAAATAGAGTACAAAATAATACGTTTCAATAACAATAGCTTTGGAACAAAAAGGCCTATGGCAGTGAATCATACATCAAACGAAAGCTTATGATATCTAGAATAGAATAGGAACGAAAATAAATATTACTGTTTTACG